CAGCAAGTTTTAAAAACCAATTTCAAAGTGATGTAGATGGATTGTTGTGGTCGTTGTTGAGACAACTGTTGGTGTTTCAGAGAAGAACTTCTCCCTGATCCTCTTGGCTGTCTTCTTCACGGAAGCCTCATCTTCCAGGCCATCCCTTGTTGGGTTCAAACCATCCAACTTCTGGTTACCAGTAAGGTGCAAACTGTTTGTATCTCTCAGGGTCTTTAGGAAAAGAATGGAGTGTGAAAATGCCATTGCTGTTTTTATCAACCAAGGTCCTAATGGAGAGATTGGAGTGTGAAAAGGTGATTGGCTTTGTGGAAACAGGGTAGGATCCCAAGAGTCATCCAGAAATATACTTTCTTGGACTTGTGAGAAGATGAAGAGGGTGATGCTGAGAGTTGCTCTGGTTCCTTATGACAGAGTCACAAACCCAGAATGGGGTTGTGGATGGTCTTTATGTGAAGCCCTCCAGCTGAGCTGGTTTATTCTAGTGGAAATGTGGTGGTGGGGAGAATGCCATGTTGAATTTGAATGCTTTCTCAAAGTTCATGGCACTCTGGTGGCCTAGTGGTAAGAAGCTGCACTGCAATCCCAAAGGCACACAGTTCGAATCCACCAGCTGCTCTGCAGGAGGAGGATAGGCAGTCTCCTCCTGTGCAATTTACTGCCTCTGAAAACCTCCTGGAGGGTCAGCTATGGGTTGGTTCCAACTCAGCAACTCACAAAGTTCAGGAAGTCTGGGAAAGATGTAACATTACACTTACTTTCTGTGGGGCATTTTTGATCAGATACCAAGTACATATAACTGGAACATAATTTTTTCTGCTTTTCTCTTTCAAGTAGCTTATTTAAGACATTTGTGTGGGAGGCAAATCCTTGTGTGACAGAAATCCTTGCTAGCCCCAAGAGCGAGATCACAAGAGGCGTGTCTGTGGGCCACATCTGACCCTTTGTCTGCTTTTTTGTAAACACAGCTTTGCTGGAATAGAGCCACAGTCATTCACCTGTATACTGTCTGTGGCCAGTTTTGTGCTTCCATAATGAAAGGCTTTTGTGCGGATGAAGTTGAACAGTTGAGACAGACAGTATCCTCTGAAGCCGCACATATTATTACATATCCTTTTTACAGAAAGCATGTACCAGCTCCTGCTTTAACATCCCATACTTTTAGCAGTGACCTCCCTTTTCAATTCCTTCATCTGTACACACACACAGACACACACACATACACAAACAGACTGGGGCAAACCTGTGTTCTCTATCAAAGTCCTAAGATTCTGAGTACTTTGAAACTTGGACGTCCTCAAACTGTCATGCTAAACATAGAATATAATGGAAATATATTTTTTTTACTGTTCAGGAGAGGCCCTTGCGATGTCTACCCCTTTATCTAATCATGATGACACCTTTGATTGCCAATACTTTTTTTAGAAAAAATTATTGTTGTTGTTATTATTAGACACCTGGATTTTTTCCAGGGGCTAGTTATACGTTGAATAAAGCAACACCGATTCATATGCAAAGAGAAGCAGAGAATGCTGCAGAGGCAAATGCCACTCTCTGTTCCTCTGTTTTCTCTGAGGAATTCTCAATCAGCTCTCCACGCCCCGGATATCCAGGTGTCCACAGCCACAGGATACCTGCTGAGGCTCTGACACCAAGGTGTTCATATAGAAATTGGTGCTTTTCTGGATGCTCCGACTGAAATCAGCCTCTGTCTTAGTGGAGCAGAACTATTCACTGTGGTGCCTTTTAAATGTGCCATGTTCTGTCTTTCTAAATTGCCAAACAGTATGAGGCCAGGCTGGGCTTACAAGGGCATTCCAAAACATATTACACAAAACGCCTTCCTTTCTTTGACTCTGGCCTGCAGCTATCATATTTTGTAATTGATAGACACTAAATGGGCCCTGCTCAGGCAGATTGATTTTAGGAGGGGGCATTGGGGTCCTTCACAAGGCCTGAGACAGAAGCTGATGAAAGCACTACAGCTCTATCATTACGGTAGATTTTACTCCTGTCGTCTGATTGTCTTGTTACCTGCGGAAACCTTACATAATTCCACTTCTGAATGGTTGCACTAACTTCCGAAGCAGTGATTAGAACTGAAGAGAAAGTAAAATGTTTTGCAGTTTTCTGTGTAGTTCAGAGACTTTTGGAGATGCGGCTGTAAATAACAACACTCTTAAACTAAGGGATTTCTTTTCTTTCCCTCCACCCACCTGGCGTTTCTTAAATTCGTGCTTTAGACAGAATGATAGTCTTTTGCTTACAGTGTGTGGGGTACACGCATGAGAGAAGGGGAGTATGAATATATTTTTAAAAATCTGAAATGAAGATCATTTTAGGATTCTAGCAGAGTTTTGTTGTTGATTGGCATTAAGTTGTCTCCAATTTATGATAACTCCTGTATAACACAGTGAAACACTCTTGGTCTTGTCTGAAAAATCATGAATAAGTTCCAGCACTGTTGATAGGTGTATATATGGAGGCTCTCCAATCCAAGGGCTTCACCTTGCAAAACTATTCACTAGTCACAATAGTCATGTGTGACCTTTAGAGTTTTCACTGGCTGGTTTACAAAGTTGCCAGGCCTTTCTTCCTTGTCTGAGGTAGTCTAGACGTTCCACTGAACCCTGCCTACCAAATTTGCTTGACATAAAATACCGGGAGCTCTGGTGACTTACAGATAAGCAGTTGTGCTGCCAATTCAAAGGCAAGTGGTTTGAATCCATCAGCTTCTCCACAGAAGACAGATGAGTCAGTCTCTTCCCATGGGATTTATAGCTCTGGAAACCCGCTAGAGTGTTTATTCTGACATAATAGTGCATAGCAGCAACAGTATGTAAGCAGCGGGGAAAGATATGGTGTGTCTGTTGTTACTCAATGCACAACCGCATTTCAAAATGTTCATGACTTGGACCCACCCAGCAGCCCCTCACAGTGATCTGCGTGTGAAAAATCACAGCTCTGAACATTCTGTGGGGCAGTTCTTTTCTGACACATATGGGATCACTGTGGGGCAAAGGATATCTTTTAATTTATGGATGCTAAGAGACTGGCCTTTATATAGAATAATCAAAATTACAGCAAAACTCCTAAATTGAGCAAGGCTTGACACACTTCTGAAGAGGATCAAAGACTATAATCTTCAGTACTGATTACACCTCGGTGTCAAGAAAGCAAAACATCATCACAACTGGACCAGCAGGCAACATCATGATGAATGGAGAAAAGATTGAAGTTGTCAAGGTCTTTGTTTTATTAGAGTTCACAATCAATACTCATAGGAAGCAGCAGTCAAGAAATCAAACAACATATTCTATGGGGAAAACCTTTTTAAAGTGCTAGAGAACAAGAATATTACTGGGAAGATTAAGATGCGCCTGACTCATACCTTGATATTTATAATTGTTTGATATGCATGTGAAATGTGAGTAAGGAAAACAAAGAAGAATGGATGCCTTTTAATTATGGTGCTGGCAGAGAATAGAAATATTCCATGGACTGTCAGTGGAATAAATAAATGTGTCTGTCTTGAAAGAAGAACAGCTGTAGTGCTGGTTAGATTTGCGCATGATTAGATTTTGTCTCAGATATTCTGGGCGTTTTATCAGGAAGGGCTGGTCTGTGGAAAACAACATCACAGTTGAAAACTTTGAGGGCCTAATAGAGAGATGACTTCCACGAAATGAATGAGCACACTGGCAGCAACAGTGGATTTAAGTATCGCAGAGATTGTGGGCATGGAATCGGACAGTGGATTTCTCTGTTGTGCGTAGGATTATTATGTTCTCACTCGGTTGTTGTGTATCATGGAGTTGGAACTGACTCACAGCTGACCCTCCCACAGGCTTTCAGAGGCTGTAAATCACACAGAAGGAGAATTCCCATCTTTCTCCCACAGAGTGTCTGCTGGATTTGAACCAGCACCGAAAGTGCAACAGTCAGGGCCAATTCCATGGCAGAACAACATTACAAATGAGATTGACTACCTACCTTATTGTCCTTCAGTAAGACTGAGACCTGGAATATGAAAACATTTTCATTAATAAAGGAATCAATACAAGTTTACTATAACTTTTTCCTGTGTGTATCCATCCACGTGTAATGGAATTGCTCTCTTTAACTTGTCCTGTGCCATAAATGAGCTTATATTTTACATATTTATGATATTTTGCAGTAGTTTTGGATCTTCCATTCTTTCTATAATGTAGAAAGTCCATATCATGATTGTTTATATCCTCACATTTTATTTTCCTAGGATCTTATGGAAGTTATCTGATAGCACATTTCCTCATTGGCCCTTTCACCAAATGCCCTTTGTCTCCCTACCAGCCTTGGGAGTTCCCTGCACATAGAGAATTCTTACTTGGTCACTGGCTTAGATCTGCCTCCTGTAATAATTCCAGCAGGAAGTTTGTGGGCATGGGCATGCATGTGTGCACGCACCTAGAGACCAGGTGAGGAGGAGAGGACCAAAGAGAAATAAAGGAGATTAAATTCAAATAAGTGTCAATAGACTAGTTCTGTGTTTTTATCTTCGACTGAAAAATAACAAATTCTTTGTGTTGTTGTTATGTGCCATTGAGTTCCCTGCGACTCATAGTGACTCTGTATTATAACAGTTCTGAAGCCTGCCCTGTTCTGAGACAATCTCAATGGTTCCAACACATCTACCCCTATTACCCCAGTGACTGTATCAGTCCATCTCATCTGGGGTCTTCCTCTCCTGTGCTATCCCTCCACCCTTCCAAGAATGATGTCCTTTTCCAAGGACCTATCCCTCCTGTCCAGGTACCCATTGTTTGTCAGACAGAGCTTCAAAATCCTTGCAGTATATTCATAGTTCAGTAACCTGTTTGAAAGGTTTCTGCTGAATTGTGTAGATGATATTTGTATGAAGAGCTTATTTAATGGATGGTTGTTTACTTTCTTTATTACATAGCCAGGATTCAGCACTTCTTCACCGCCATCTCAGTGTCTCTTCTTTGTTATTCTTTTAGCTCAACAGAATTCACCAAAAATCCATGAAGGCTGGTGGGCATACAAGGAGGTGGTTCAGGGAAGTTTTGTTCCAGGTAAGCATCCTTTTTATCCTTGTTACAATATTTAAAGGCATTTTAGTGAAAGATGGTGTGATTTGTGGACTTTTACCTTCAGTATGTAGGATGGAATGTATTGCAAAAGGTAAAACAGTAGCATTTATGTGTTCAGCTAATACTTTTTTCCTAAGAGAATGTTCAAGTCAGTGGCAACTGAAAACCAGAGCATTTGTTTCTATCTTGGCTTAAAGACCAAGATTCTTCTTCCTACAGGTAGCTCTGTCAGAGATAGGTGGGTGGAAACTGAGGGTAGGAGTTTTGTCTGTTGGTATTTGATTTAATGAGGAAGAACTGTTTCTTCACATTAATGAAACAGGAAGTCTGGAAGTGTCCGCCATGGGAAGGAAGCTTGCTGGGGCTCACGCTGTCACTGATGTCACTTCAGTAGCAGACTTGATCAGAACTTAGCAGAGCTGGCCAAGCACCAGCTAAAAATAACAGGCAAGGTGGATACTATCAGCATGGGGGAGAGAGACTGGAGAACAAAGACTAGTTGGAGCCAGAAACATACCATGATTAGTAGGGAACTGGGGGGTGTGTGTGTGTGTGTGTGTGTGTGTGTGTGTGTGTGTGTGATTATTCATCTCCCCTCACTTCCTCATACCTTAATTATGGTCTTCATTCTTCATCACCTTTGAGACGTTAGTGGGAAGCGAGGCAGGGGAAAGGAATGGATGTTGTAGAGAAAGATGAAAGAGAAGGCAGGTAAGGGAAGATATTTCTAAGTTTTTTAAAAATGGCTTAGATGTGAAGGAACAAGAAATGAAGCTAGCAGGAACAGAAGTGCTGTCCCCTCCCTAAGATACGGGAAACAGATGGCCCAGGTGACAGCGGGGACCTCTGTAGGTGATAGCAAGTAGAAAGAGGAGTGTCTATCTCACCAGATACATTCTTGGCTACTCTGTCTTCTTTATCTCTTCATCTGTAGAGTTTATTACATCAACAATGCAGACTTCAGTGAATAACTCTCACCGAGTATCACTTTTCTCATTTGTTTTATGGGAAAATAATTTGAAATCTTGGAGCTTTGCAGCGAGAGGAAAGCAGGAGGGGGAAGGAGGGTAGGAGTGTAGACGACACAGGAACAAGCCAGTTGACTGCCAAATTAACTTGATAAATTTACTCTGGTACATCTATTTCTTGGTCCTTCTGCTGCAGAGAACGTCTTCTGTAGAGAAGCTACAGTGCATGGGTAGTTCTGGATGGACACATAACACTTTCGCTCTCCTGTCCTATGTTTTTCAATGTGACTTTCACCCTCTGTTGATGTATTGCTTCTCTACATCTGTTCAAGGCCCTGTTTTGAGTTAGTGCTTGCTCCTCAGACTACAGGAGAGATGTTTTATCTTTCCGTTTTGTGTTGATTTAAGAACTATCTTTGCCTTTCTTGCAACTTAAACAGAGGGAATCCCCGAAATGCTGCTACATAGGAAGCAGCAGGGTGGAGATCTGGGCATAGGATCTGGAGTCAGAGAGAGACCGGGAGTGAAGTCTGGGCTTTATGGTTTCCTGCTTATCTCTTTAGGTTACTGGTTCCTTCATCCATTCTTCAGATGCAGACAAGAACGGAATCTACTTCATAAGGGTTTGTGAGGATTAGGTTACATAAAACAGGTAACATGCTTATCATAATGCCTGGTGCCCGTTGTGTACTGTTGAGTCAGAACTAACCCATAGCTGACCCTCCAGCAGGTTTTCAGAAGAAGTTAATTTAATAACATGGGAAGAGATTGCTCATCCTTCTTCTGCAGAGTAGCTGGTGGATTTGAACTGCCACCTTTGAGGTTGCAGGGCAGCTTCTCACCACTAGGCCACAAGAGATGAGAAGGTCCATGTGGCAGTTTTACGGGTACAACTAGAAGAATCTGGCATAATGGGGAAGTCATTGTGGTGCCAACCCAAAGATCGGCTGTTCTAATCCACCAGAAGATAGATAGGTAATCTCTTCCCATGTAATTTACAATCTCTTAAAATCCCCTGGAGAGTCAGCTAGGAGTTGATTTCAACTCCATAGCACCTAACAACAACAACTATGACAGCATCTTACCACTAGGCCACCAGAACTCCCTCATAGTTATAACAGGTAACTTTAGATATTTTTATTTATAGATAACACCACAGCTAGATTTGATACCTCCCAGTCTGAAATATGCTAGGGAAGGAAGTGCAATCCGGATGCCCCTCCAAAGCAAAGATGGTGAAACTTTATCTCACCTACTTTGGGCATGTTGTCAGAAGGGGCCGACCTTCTAAAATGATTATCATGTTTCAAAAAGTAGAGGGTCAAAGAAAGAAAGGAAGCTGCTCAATGAGATGTATTGACCCAGTGACAGGAACAGTGGGCTTGAGCTTGGTGGGGTTTGGTGCAGGACAGGACAAGGCTTGGATATGTTGTTCCTAGGCGCACAGTGAATTGTAGTCATCTTGATGACACTCAACAACAACAGCAACAACGTGCAGAACCTGTACATAGACCCCAAACCAGCTATTTGAACAGGAGGATTAGCTTAGTATTTCTCCAGGCATAAGGGAATATTGCTTGGTTTCAAATCAGGAAAGATTCACATAAGTGTTGTGTATGTTCTCCATACTTAGTCTGTGTACTAGGAATCATAATCAACTTGATGGTAGTGAGTTGAAACCTTTTAAAATTCTGGAAAGAAAATCACTATCAGAGGATTTCGTTTCCTGAGTTTTTGTGAATTTCGCCTTTGCAAGGAAGATTTCTTAATAATTTTGGGAGACAAAAACCATACTGAAGAATGGAAAGTTATAAAAAAAAACAACAAAACCACAAAAACCATTTCTTTGCTTAAGAATGAAGTTAGTCATGGAAATGCTTTAGCACCAATCCAGTTTACCTTTGCCTGAAAGAGTTAAGAGTTTGAGAAGTGTGTGATTCACCTTACAGACACCAGGTGATATAAGCTGGCGCCTAAGGTCGAGAATGTTCTTCAATTTCCTGTTGGATTTCCCTCCCTTCATCTAATGAATGTGTGAATCAGGTGAGAATTATGACATGACTAGATAGTACACTGGAGGAAGTGTGATGATACAGACCATTAATCATTCAGCTATTGAGTAACCGAAAGGTGGACAGTCTGATCTCACGCAGCAGTTACACAGGAAAAAGACCTGGAAGGTTCTTTCCTAAAGATTACAGGCAGTGTTTGGTGGGGGATCCCCAAAACCCAAAACAATAACAACAAAAAACCCAAAGCCTATGTGGTAGTTCTCCTCTCTCACCTGGGGTCACTAGGAGTTGAAATCAACTTAATCAACTTCACAGTGTATAACAGCAGATCATTTGGATGAGTTTCATTGTCCCATATGTTCATCACTGGAATAACTCACTAGGAATAGTTATCAGTAGGTAGGGTGAATATGTGACTTCAACTGAACATGTGACTTCAGCAATGCTTGTGATAGCTGGAGGTTGTGCTGTCTATTAGTGTCAAGCACAGACTTGATTTAGCATTAGAATACTGAATGTTAGTTCAGGGTGAGTTGTTCCATAGTAAGTACGAGGTGTTAAGCACTATGCTTGGAGTTGTTGACAAAGTGATAACTGAGATGTAGTTCTTAGAAGAACCCATAGACTAAATGGGAAGATAACTAAAAAGCCATAACTATGTGATAAGAGCCTCAAGGAAGTGTATACAAGTTTATTAGCAGCATAAAAAAAGGCAAGAGCGTTCTATGATTCTTCCTGTGAAGTGGTGGTGTTCAGCAGACTTATTGGTGACCTGCTTAAATCCATTTTAATCTATCAGATCCCACTCACAGTAGAGGATTCCTTTGCAGGTAAATCTCCAGTTAGTGTTGCTGTACTGTCAACCCATGGCTCTGTGTTCAGCAAAGAAGCTCCTCCCCAAACTCAAAGGAATGATCTTATCCATACCAAGAATGTTGTTGTTGTGTACTGTCAAGTTGGAATCAAATCCTAGCTGACTCTCCAGTGGGTTTGCAGAGGCAATAAATCGCATGGGAGGAGATTGCCCACCTTCTTCTGCAGAGTAACTGGTGGATTTGAACTTTGTGTCTTTGGGATTGCAGTATAGCTTCTTACACCAAGAATAGTGATGTCACTTCTTTTCCTGGCAGTAGTTGGTTTAGGTAGGCAATGATTCTATCAATGACTCATGAAGAGAGGAAGATTTCTTAATAATTTGGGGGGCTGAAACCATACTGAAGAATGGAAAGTTGTAAAAAACCATATTTCCTTTATAGTCTGCTTAAGAATTAAATCAATCACAGAACTGCGTTAGCACCAATCCAGTTTGGTAGGGTGATCAACTGCTTATTATTTGGAGAAATATCAATTACGTGTTTTATAGTATTATCTGTGGCTATGGCAATGGGAATGTACTGTACTGTGTGAATGTAATGTACTGTGAACCCAGATGCAGAAGAATCAATGGTGTGTTTATAAGATTGTCTACATAAAAGGTACACATGGAGAAATGACCAAAGTTATACAAGTGTTCAGGTCTTTCATTCTTAGGGTCTCTATGAGTCGTCTATGACTCGATGGCACTGAGCAACAACAACAACACCACAAAAGGTAAACCCCTAAAACAAGACTGTTGTTGTTGTTGTTAATTACCTTCTAGTCAAGCATGACTCATAGCAACTCTATGAACAAAGGGCCTGAAGCCCCTCTACAACTATTGACATTTATCAAAGTTCATAGGGTTTCCAGAGGCATGTTATTTAGAAAATGGGTGCTACTCCTGCTTCCAAAAAGACCACAAAGCCAGAAATACTGAGTTAATCATGTTAGAATCAAAATGGGGTTTTCTTAGTAGCTCTTAAGGTATGTGTGTGTTTACTTAATTAATATATGCAAATAACTAATTTCTAATTTAATGTATACACACACACCACACACACATACATATTTCAGGAAAAATAATATACCAAATACCATGTATCAACCTTCCATTATGCAAAGCAGTAGAGAGATTGACAATTCT